GGTGTTTTAAGTTGTAGTAACTTCAGAAATATAAATGCTACAAACTTTCAAAAATCATTTGGATGTTTAATTATTTAAATTTCTTTTACACTTGATAGCTTTGTGAACTTTGAATCATACATTTAAAATTGTTTCAGTCCCTCTGGGGGTAGCATTAAGGGCGAGGGACTTTTCATTTTTGAAGGTTTTAGAACATTTAGAACTCCCAGTGACCTTGTAGCAACTATATCTATTTTTTTTTTTTGAAGAAAAAAGTTCTGGAGTTTTTGTATGACTTGGAAAGGATTTATGATATTTAGCTTAAAAAAAGCAGGACCTAAAGTTACTGTCTACAATGTGTGCTAAATTATGTACAAAAGTAAACTTAGAAAAAAGCCTAGAAGGAAATGCATCACGTTGCCCTGGTGGTTTATATCTCCAGGTGGTGAGATTAGGTATGATTTCCTGTCTGGTTTGTTTAAACGCTCAGTATTTTGCAAATTGCTCAGAGTAGCTGGTGAGATTATGGTAAGGGAAAAGCAAAGAAATTCTGCTTCACTCTGAAGGGGTGAGGGCCATTTGGAGATGTTTAGGTCCTTGGCTTCAAAACATTTTAATTTTTGATTGAAGTATAGCTGATTTACCGTGTTGTGTTCTAACCATTTTTGATCACACCCCTACACCGTAGGAAATGCATTCTGCTCTGAGACCTAACACACACACCTCTCTGCCCTCTTCTCCCCGCCTCGCCTTCTCCTTTTCTAACGTTTAAGTCTTTTAACTTGCCCTTCCTTCCTATAAATAGATTCCCCCCTCCCCTTTTCATTTCTATTCAATTTCATTGTTTTAAAGCTGGTCACAACCCACATTGATTCTTTTGAATTGCAGTGAAGAGCCTTGGTGTCCAATAAAACTTCAAACCAACTGTGGTTATTCTGGGTTTGATGGGGAATAGTTCTCTGCCTGACAGATTTCACATACTGTTTCACAGCAGAAATGCAAATGCTGACCTGGATATCCTCACCCTCCCCAGTGAGCCTGGAAATGCCTACGAAAATGACATTCCCTTTCTATGTATTCCACACTCAAACCTTCTGAGAGTTAATGGTGGGTGTGTTTTAAGTGGGAACTTTTACATTTTTTAAGCCAACTTAATTTTTGGACGGATCATGGCTTTGGTGGGGTTATGCTTTTGTTAAAGTTAAGATTTTAACTGTTTAGTTGCTTGTTTTCAAA